TACTTAAATACAGTATTTAATAAATAATAAGTAGATGAATGAATGAGTGATAAGGGGGATAGGGCAACTATTATAGTCACTTGACACTTGGCAGTTTACATGGTGACTTTACAGTCGCATTACTAGGCAATATAAGAGCTAGGTTTCATGCTCGGTGTCTGAACATGCTTAGAGAATCTGGATCCTGGAGCAGATGGAGCAAATCTCTCCCAATGCATGGAGGCAGGCTGGCAGCCCACAATGGCTGCTGCAGAATTTAGAGAAAACTGTAAATTGAGAGCTCAGCACTGAAGATAAAACTAAAAATACATACCTGCACAATGTGAGAGGAAGCTGTGCTGAGATTAGAAGTGGTCCGAGCACCATGGTACTAAATAAAGCTGGCAGAGTGGCCTCTTTGGGTGGTGTCTCATCAAAGCCAGGACATCAGCAGCCCAGGCACAGGGTCATAGACAGATTATGGTGAGCCATCTGTCACGTGCTCCTGTGATAATGCACAGGAGGAAGTTCCCCCTGGCAACCAAACGGGCTCCAAGGATATCCACACACAATCCTCAGTCTACTCTTAAAATAGCTCCAGACCCATTTTGGTGAGAGACATCTTTTCATTCATGCTGCACTTTTTACCCAATATCCAGCTTCATTCACATGCTTCCTGAGGAGTGGAAACTAATCCCGTTCTGCTGGTAACTCTGAGCCCCTGCCTAGGTCCTGAGTTCTTAATTTAGTACAGACGAAGGCAAATCTATTGACAGTACTGCCCCTCTCACAAGGCAGAAGACAGTGACCCTTCACAGCTTAGACTTCAATACATCCCTAGGTTTGTGCCACCCTGGCTAGACTAGCTCAGATAGCTGAATTGGGGGTGGGNGTCCGTTTCTGTATTGTAGGCTGTTGCTTACCGTCAGATGTCTCTGCTGCTCCGCCGCCCCCCTGGTCGGGAGGCCTATCCTGGTGATGTGTTCTACCTACACTCCCGTCTGCTGGAGAGAGCGGCCAAAATGAACGATTCTTTTGGTGGTGGCTCTTTGACTGCGTTACCAGTCATAGAAACTCAAGCTGGTGATGTGTCTGCTTACATTCCAACCAATGTCATTTCTATCACTGATGGACAGGTACTTTTATGATTAAAATAAATGTAAAAGCTTAGGTTGATTCCACGGCATTGGTTGAGACTAGTGGTTATGAACTGATTTGTTAAAAGCCTTTTACTTTTTATTATGGAACATTTCAAATGTATACACAAGGAGAGTAGTATAGCAAACCCCACGCATCTCTCACCTATTTATCAATTCATAGTACATATAGTGCACTTTGTTCTTGGCTTCACTTATACCCATTATTGTTCTTCCCCCTAGAAAATTTTGAGCAAATCTCAGAGGTCATATCACTTCACCTGCATGTATTTTAATAAAATGTTACCTATTTTCCCCCATGTCATGCACATCTAATATCAGCAACAGAATATGTAGGTTGATTTGGGTTGTGAAAGATTTGAGGGGCTTTGCCGTACGAAGTCATTTATCATTCTTCCTTGGAATTTTTAGGCTTCAGTTTTTTGAAGCACAGTGTCTTAATTTTGAATGCTTGATTTCTTTAGGTTTGCTAGCATGTGTATTCTTACATTGCAGATCTTCTTGGAAACAGAATTGTTCTACAAAGGTATCCGCCCTGCCATTAACGTCGGTTTGTCTGTGTCTCGTGTCGGATCTGCTGCCCAAACCAGGGCCATGAAGCAGGTAATGGGCATTCCTTTGTCGGGGAGGGGTATCATTCGGTTGAACTCAACATATATTTGTATAGTGCCATGTCATTGAGTTAAGTATTTTTGTATTGCATGAGTTAACCATTTCTGTATTTCAGGTGGCAGGTACCATGAAGCTGGAATTGGCTCAGTATCGTGAGGTTGCTGCTTTTGCTCAGTTTGGTTCTGATCTTGATGCTGCTACTCAACAACTCTTGAGTCGNTGTATCCAGTGAAATTCGGCTTGGATTTTAAATCCTTAAGTATGAAGTCATTAATTTCGTGATCATTCAGGGCCCTTGGGAAAGATTAGAAGAGATGACTTTAAAAAAAAAAAAGTAATAAAAATAGCTACCGGCATTAAATCTAAATAGGACTCCAATTTTTTCTTCAAAGGTGTAGTCTGTCGTTTTAGTTCTGCCAGTTTCTGGGGGTGAAAAAAACACAGTCACAGAGTAATACAGATATTCACAACACAACTAAATACTGCTCATTTCTGAAATAAAATATGATAAAGCATTAACATTAGGATATTTAAAATAATGTACCAAATATAGAGCTTCAAAGATAAATAGGTACACAAACCAATGGAAACAATGCTTATAAGATGCTTAAAATGGGAAAGTTGTACTCCCATTTATTAAGAATAGGATTGAAGTATGCTGTCTAGGAACACAAAATAATGTGATTAAGAGGAATCAGAATGTAAGGGAACAACTGGAATCTCAAATACATGTTTATGAATTGTCAACTTTAGATTCCCAAAATCAAGGACAAAAAAAATCTTAATAATAAAACAAAACCCCATGTTACTCCCTCTCCCACCAAAAACAGATAAAACCCTTATACAACCTAAAAATCCAGAATTGCATGCTACAGGAGTTTTGGGGCCTGCATTTTTACTGTACACCGAAAGAGAAGGAAGAGGAAGACCTAATGGTTAGTACATCATCCCTCAATAAATTTAATAAACCAATCAATAATGTATTGACTGACTCCAGCAAAGAGTTTCTAGCATAAAGTAATTAAAAAAAAATTTAAATAAATGCGAGGACACATACAACTAAACAATAAATATATAAATACTAGTGACTGTAGAATACAGAGTTTGGTAAAAGAAATCTGGTCAATAGTGAATAAAGCTCTATAAAAAGAAATGAAAAAGCAGATTTTAAAGCAAGTTAAATTGGGTTAAAATAAGCTCACCTCTGAAAGTGCTACCAGTGATTGATGAGACAAAGAAGCATCCATGCCTCTGGCTGAAAGTTTCTCCTACAATTACAGAACAGTGGGTCTGGTTAAGAAAATTATTTTCAAAGTGACCATCATGAAATATTTTCAACATATAACCCAGTGAAGAAAATGTACACATCATAGATGAAAAATCATACAAGAATCTAAATACTTTGTGTTGCATGTGAATCATTTCCATAGTCAAAGATTTGTGACAAGACAGGAGCAGTGCTTCAGGGCCTGAGCTTCAGGGCCTGGCTGCCTGTGTTTTAAATCTGCTGCCAAGTAGCTATGTAACCTTGGGCAAATTAACTATCTTCTCCGTAGCTCCCTTATCTGTAAAAAGGGAATAGTAATAGGGCCTCGTTGTGAAGATGAAGGTCAAAAACAAGTCTGAAGAGAGCCAACTATATTTAGCTCTGCATACATACCTCTGCAGCTCTGATTCCAAATCTGAACTCCTCTGACTTCGCTTTTAGGAAGTCCATGTTCTGAAGACGATTATCAACTCTGGCCCTTTCCGTACACAGATGCAGTTCTGCCTTCTTGAGGTCCCTTTAAAAAGTAAAGTTGAAAACATTTTCTTCTCCTCAGTGAAACTAGTATTAAAAAAGAAACTCTACTACTTTTTGGATTCAACTCTGGATAAGTCACGAGTAGATAACATATTTGCTGGATTTTCTACCATAAATTTTATATTCCAGAGTAAATACAAGGCATGACTCCAGGTCATCTTCCCCTCCATGTTGTTATGCAGGATTTTTCTCAAGAAATGCTAAATAATTTTAAGATTAATCTATGTCAATTATTCTTGGAGAAAGTAAATCTGCTGCTCAAAAAAGTGATTTAATATATCCTGAAGCCAATCTGAATTATGGAGGTCCCAAAGGCCTCCCTCCTAGATGTGATGTGACACAGTGCCTTGCATATACAAACTTAATCTTTGACAAATAAATGCACACACCACCAATTTACTTATGTCTATACATACTCCTGATCCACGGCATCTAATCTCTGGGGCAACAGAGACCTAAAAAAGGTCCAGAGCATCAAGGGGCATACCAGAGCTCTAGTGAAAAAGGGCATCAAAATGTAATGTACTTTAAGTGGCACTGTAGTTTATAAGTTAAAAAATTTTTACATATATTCTGAAAATGATAAAACCCAGGTTATTTGTAGAAAAGAGAAAACAAAGGTAGGAAATTATATGAAATAAATGGTGAGAAAGTGTGTCCCCAACCACCTCCAACTTCCACCCAAGTAATATTCTACTTTAAAAAAACATTTATGGATCCAATTTCGTAATGTGTCGTTTAAAATCTTATCTATTGACTTAAAACTAAATCTGACAATGCCTTATTACTGCCTTTATAATAAAAGTTGTCACCACTTCCAACTCACTTACTCTTGTAGACATTTTTCTAATACTAAAGTTGCGGTAAGATTTTTTTCAAGTTTTGCCAATTCAAGCTTGATTTCTTCATTTTTAGATTTGGTATGAAAAAGGTCAGAGGTCACATCATTCACTGCAGGGATAAAACTTAAAAAAAAAAAAGAATCTGGTTACATACATGGAAACAGCAGTTACAATCATTCCTCATTTCTCACAATGATTTTGTCTCTATGTGGATTCTTCCATAACCACACTGTTTCAAACCTCTATGCATTTCATACATGCTGTTCCCATTGCCTGGCAAGCCCTTCTTCAGCTCGCAAATTTCCATTTGCCCTTTAAAACTCAAATTAGATTTACTCTCATCCTGGAATTCACTGTCCCTTTCTCTGTGCTTTCAGGCTACAGCTTGTACGCTGCAGCTGTGTTACAGTTTTACATGTCCACCTCCTTTATTTGGCCATGAGCAGAGACTGTCCTTGCTTGCAGTTATTATCCTATTCATCTCTGCTTCCCCAGTGCTATTTATGTATAAATATGTATACATCTAGCATATAACCAGTATTTCCTATCTGCTGAAATGACTTGTCTAGATGTCTGCTGTCATACAGCCAACATGTTCTTACAAGGTCGGACAATTAAGTTCATGAACTTATTGCAACAATGTTGCTAACCTTTTTTGATATCAGAGGGATTATTCATTATGAATTTGTACCATCTGGACAAACAGTTAACCAAGTTTTCTATTTGGAAGTGCTGAAAAGGCAGCATGAAAAAGTCAGACGACCTGAACTTTTCACCAAGAATTCATGGCTTTTACATCACAACAATGCACCAGCTCCCATGGCACTGTCAGTGAGGGAGCTTTTAGCCAGTAAACAAATAACTGTATTGGAACACCNCAATTTATCCACATCCTCGTCAACACTTATTATTATCTGTCTCTTTTATTCTAGTTATCTTACTGGGTATGAGGTAGCATCTCATTGTGGTTTTGATTTTTATTTCCCTAATAACTAATGATGTCAAACACTTTTTCATATGCTTATTGGGCATCTGCATATCTTCATTTGAAAAATGTCTATTCAAATCACTTACACATTTTAAAATTGAGTTATTTGCCTTTTACTATCGAGTTGCAAAAGTTTTTATAGATTCTGGATACAAGTCCCTTATCAGATATATGATTTGCAAATATTTCCTCCCGTTCTGTGGATTGTCTGTTCACTTTCTTATGGTGTCCTTTAAAACACGAAAATGTTTAAGTTTCATGAAGTCCAATTTATCTATTTTTTTCTTTTGCTGCTTATGCTTCTGGTGTCATATCTAAGAATCCTTTGCCAAATCCAAGATCATGAAGATTTATCTTTATCTTTTCTACTAAGTTTTACAGTTTTAGTTGTTAGACTGAGGGCTTTGATTCACTTTGAATTAGTATTTATAGGTAGTGTGAGGTAACGGACCAACTTTACTGTTTTGCATGTGGATATCTAGTTGTCCTTGGGCACCTCCTTGTACTTGTTTAAAAAAAAAAATTTAAATCTTTGAGCCTTTGAAGCTATCCTGACATAAGGTATGAAGTATGGATTTAGAACCATGTGCTGAATTATCCATTTCTCTACTACTGATTCAAAATGCCATCTTTTTCATAAACTAAATTCCTGCATACATTACCATTTGGAGGTAGCCAGGTTAGCTGATCAGAAAGAACCACAGCAAACCCCAGGAGAGGGAAGAATGGGAAAAACGTAACTGGGGTTATAAAATCTTTTCTTTCTTTTCACTTAGCTGACCTAACAAGTGACTGCATGACAACTGTCAGAATGTTTACCAAGTAGGGCTACTGAAGGACACTTAGCCACCAGCAATATAGAAAAAAACATGTTTTAATATGAAAACTATGTATTCGGGCACAAAAATGCAACACATAAACCAGAAACCACTATCCTATCAATAATGACATTATTATGTCATCTAAGAACACAGGAATTAAGTTATTAAGGGATGCCAAGAGGAAATAATTCTGTAAAGTCCTATTTCATTTACTTTGTTTGGCTTTGGTCACAGTTCCAACATGTCTACTTTCCTTGAAAGTTCAGCTTCGATGGTATCCTAAGGAAGAAAGAAATGTCTGAAATACTACAAGAAGGACATAAAACAGGTGCTCTAACTTCTAATGTTATTTAAAATAAGAGAAGCAAAAAAGAAAAATACTAAAACAGAACTTTAAAAAAATACCATTACAAATATTAAATATGCTTCGAGACATTCCCTTGCTTTTATATCTATCCCCTTTCCCAAACCCCAAAACTTTTCAGACTCTTGATGCTACTAAACATCTGCAGGGGGTAAAAACCCTTCAGAGAAATGAATCAGCATAATGATACCTGAGTGGATCTTTCTGACCTTTACTCCTTAAATAATGTACTTCTGTAATATCTCTCACATCACCTCTTTTCCATTCTCATTTNTTGCTGCGAGGAACCTCCATGCCACCAATACTCGTCTTCAGAAGACTGGTAAGTAATTATTTCTAAGTCTACACCACACTTACTACCTTCTCATTAAATGAAAAATAAGTTACATAGTTGTTACAATTTTTTTCCCATTTGTTAGTTTTCTTCTCTCAACTTTAGTTATTACAGAGTCTCAGATTCTTAACCTGTAATGTACCAGTTAGCCCTCCCTGTCTTGGTAGATTTGCTTGTTCTAGTGAAATGAACTACAGTTATGTATTTCTCTTGATGTTAGTACTGCTTATTTGTTCTGCTAATGTCTCCTTGGGTGGAAACAGAATGTACAGATATCAGGTGATGGGCACTCTTTCTGATCTTTGATATTTTTTCTTCTTCCTAAAAACCATTAGAAAAAAGTGCGCACTTTTTACCTCCTGTTTTTCAAAGGCAATAGCTGCTAATGTATGAATGATAGAAAAGTGGAGAGGTAAGCATAGGAACCATAATAGAAGATAGAAAGTATTTATTTTAAGGGTATTGCTCAAGGCAATAGCTGCTAATCTATGAATTTCCACTTCGCAAATTTCGTAGAGAAGTAGAGAGGTAAGTGGAACCAAAGGAGTAGAAGGCAGAAAATACTTATTTTTATTTTATTAGCTTATCTGGTTTACAGTGATCCTGTGAAGTTTTTCTTCAGTCACTTGGGTTCGCTGTCATGTTGGTAGGTATCAAGCTTTTGAATAGAACCATATATGTTACATTTTAGAATGTAGTTTGATTATTATGACCACGAAACTATAGTTTTTATAGTTGTTGAGGAAATGGGTTTTGAAGATTTGGGGACCAGATTATTTTTGTAATGGAATTGTCCTTTCAATTAGGCACTGCCGAGATGTCCTCTATTCTTGAAGAGCGCATTCTTGGAGCTGATACCTCTGTTGACCTTGAAGAGACTGGGCGCGTCTTAAGTATTGGTGACGGTATTGCCCGCGTACATGGGCTGAGGAATGTTCAAGCAGAAGAAATGGTAGAGTTTTCTTCAGGCTTGAAGGTAAATTATAAAATGAGATTTTGCTGTTTTAGGACCGGTGTCTTCATTCATTTCGTAAGGCAGCAATTGTGTCCCTCCCATCGCATACCCCCCCTTTTTTTTTTTTAAACTCAAAATCTCAATCTGCTTCAGTGTTTTGGGGTGGGGGGGGAGGTTTGGTCATTGTCATATGTTGTGAAAAGAATAAATTGAAGGATTTTGGTTAACCAAGTTTTTATTCTAGGGATTGACTGATTTACATATAGGTTATATCCACTAGCTCCCAAACATATAGCTGAGTAAACCTTTACCCAAATTCTAAGAGATTTGAGTCTTGTTTGTAGCCGTTAAGATCATCTTATACAAAAGCATTAGAACTTCAACTAAATTCATTTCTGGTGGAAAGTTGAAAGTCATTGACTTTGCATTTCTAGTAAGAGTAGATCTGTTATTGAGAGATGAATTAGTGGTGTAGCTATCAGAAGCTCTGTGATGATACAAGTCCACTCCTTTCTGTTAGGTTGTGCCTAGTTGGCCAGTGGGATGAGAAATAAAAGTTGTAGAATTATGGGCTCTCTGAGGAAGGCAGAGCCTGATAATCTGGATGGATCAGGAGCAGCAGGATTATCCGCTAAGCACACAGATAGGGGAAAAGATCATCTTGGTCTTATTAGTTTCTGTGTATGTAAGAAGAGCCACTTACTGTGGAAGGCTAATTATAAAGCCAAAAATTTTATCAGTATCTGTAAAACCTTGGCTAAAAATTTAACCTTTTTTTATCTTCAGTGTATATATCTTATATATCTTTGAAAGGTTAGGCTGAAATAGATGAACGCTTGCTTGAGTTTCCTTTTCGTTTTTGAGAGTCTCGACGCACACTGTCAAGTAGAACTACCTTCGATGACGGAAATATTTCGTGTCTGTCCTGTTTAACGTGGTAACTACGTATGAGACCATTGAGCCTGTAAAACGTGACTAAGGGACTGGATTTTAAACTTTTGACTTGATTTTCATTTAAATTTAAGAAACCATCTCTGGTTAGTGACTTTGATGAACATCGGAGATTTAAAGATTTTTGTACCTCCAATGATATTCCATGATATTTTTCTATTTATTGTAAGTACTTCTCCAGAGCTTTCATTACTGACCAGACTCACATCCTGGAATAGTGTTTTTGTTTTAGTCATGATTTAGGGACCTAGAATCTTACCATTTTGAAATACGATTGTAATGGTGAGAGATGACCCAGTACTATTATATTGTGAAAATTTGTTCTTTGGTGGGTGGCTTTTAATTTCACTTTATGCTAACCTGACGAGCTAGAGGTTCTGATTAGATAATTAAACTGTATGGAGCTTCTCAAAGATTAAAAGGTGTAAATCAAGTATGTCTTAAAATTTCCAGTTGACTTTGATCACTTTATTTCATACTGATCACAGAGCTCAAAAGCCATAGTCAAAGGAAGTGATTGTAAAAAGCTTAACCTGTTCAATTTCTTTGCTTTGAGTTCTCTCAGGATGTGATAAGGAGCTTGATAGGTTTATAATGTTACTCTAAGATTATTCAAGGGAACATGTTGCTATTTTAAAAGACTTAACCAAAGAAAATTGTTTATTGGAAAAACACTTAAGAGTAAACTCAGACCTAAAGGACNCGGCTGCTCAGCTTGGGCTGGACTCGAACCGCTGTTGCTCAGAGCTCAAACTCTTGAGCGAGCTCTTAACCAACTGAGCCACTCGGCCGGCCCTTGGATTGTCATTTTTACCCATGGCTCACCTTGGAAAAGTAGAATATTAAAGAAAGGGGTGGCTGACCATACATTTGCAAGCTATGTTTTAGGAGATGAACTTTTTAACCCAGATATTCATATGACCCCCTCTCCCCCCACTTAAGATTTTGGGTGTAAACCAGGATTTCAGGATTTGGTGGATGAAGCTGAAAGATGCTTCGCAGAAGAGTTACAAGTGAAGGCAACGTTAATAGTCTCCACTATCGCAAAATACCCAACATCCCCCCCGAAATTCTGTACATAGCTCAAAAACCTCAGTATCACAAAAATTCTGAGAAAAAAAGTCCCGCTCCAATTTTATTGGGTAGGCATAGAAAGTTGTTTTCCTCATTTCTGTTTTACTCCAAATGGAAGAATAGAGGAAGTCTCTTCTGTATGAAGCTAGTTGCTGGTAGAGGAGAACTTAAGCTCTAGTACAGTCTGGCGCAAGACTACTGATTTTGGACCATTCTTCTCAGTAGGGTTGGCAACCACTCTACTTGAACTTGTGCCTGTTACAATTTTTAAACAATTTGCTCTAATTCGCAGACAGAATTCTTTTAGGTAGAATCTAAAAGAACTGCGATTTTCCAGCTTGAGTGCGTATCGGTATGTGTGCTTGTCAAAATTCAGATAACCTCAAATTTTCTACTCAGAGGGTCTGGGGCAGGGCCCAGCGGTCTGAGTGGCAACACGCTGGGCAGGAAAACGCTCTGTCTGTGGAAGACATGGAAGACACGCCAACGGGGAGGGGAAGTAACTGTTTACTGTTGCTCGGGCGCCAATGTTCAACAGCTGTAGCCCCGGACCGCACACCATCAACCCGCCTCACAGTGAAGCCAGCTTGGCATCGGGACAGGGTGACACCAACATCATCTCGCACCCCAGATGGACCAGCCTGGGAACTGCTGCTTAGCGGGTTCCGCTACCCACGTGGTCACTCCGGGCAACCACAAAGTCGACTCAAAAGACTAAAGTCAATGTGTAACGAGTGCCTGGGCCGAAGCTGGCAAAGGTCTAATCACTCATTTTGAAGTTTAAATCTGAAAATGATACTTTAAGAGAAAGTAACCGCCCCACTCCCCGCAAAAAGCAGATTTGTGTCCGGAGGTGAAAGCTAGGGGCGGTACTTCCGGGGTCAGGTGGGCTGGCTGCCTTGACCTTCCTCGCCGCTCGGCCATTTTGTCCCAGTCAGTCGGAGGCTGCGGCTGCAGAGGAACCAGCTGAAGAGAAGCTGCAAAGATGCTGTCCGTGCGCGTCGCCGCGGCCGTGGCCCGCACCCTCCCTCGGCGGGCCGGGCTGGTGAGCACAGGGAACCGGCGGGAGGGAGGTGGCCCGGTGGGGCGCACTGGATGGGTGGTAGTGCGCTAGCTCGGGAGCTCTTTCTGCAAGGAGGGTGAGGGGCTGTGCCGGGCGCCGCCATCTTGCACTGCTGGCTGCTCCGGCGGTGCAGGCTGGCTGCTTCGGTGGTGCAGGGCTGACGGCGGAAGAGTCCTTTTGCTCGTCATCGGTGCGGGATGGTGCAGAGGGCTGGAGGGGAGACAGTGACCTTGATGCTGTTCAGAGATGGGGCCTCAGGAGGATTCCCATCTTCTGCAGAGAGCGGCCCGCGAGAGGCCTTGAGGGGAAGGTCAGGCAGGGTTTGGGCGCTAGCTGTCCGAGGCCTGCTTCGAAACGGCGAGGCCCGGCCTCGCTGATGCTCCTGGACTCCCTCGCTGAAGGTCAGGGCGAGCTGGGGAAGTCTGACATTGTATGAAGGTCAGCAGGCCCCGGCACTTCACCTCTGCCCGGAGGTCAGTTCAGAGAAAAGCAATAATAGAAGTGGTTTTCTGAATGCTTCGCAAGGCAGTCTCGTAGTGCTGAATACTGAAACGATTGTGAAAACACCGCACAGGTGCAAATATGCATTTCATGTGGCTGATGTCGTTACAACATCGAAGCTGGCTTCTAAATCGTTTCAGTCTGCAGAAGACTTTGCTTTGTGGGTACTTTGACACGTTCTAAGATTTCGTCCCTGAGTGATTGTTAGACCGTGATTGCGAACTCAAGGAAAATAGAAAATAGGTAATAGGTTGGAAAATACCTGTAAAAAGTCAGTACCCTTCATTACTTATCTCCCTTGAAATTAAGAACGCTTTCCTTAAGTCCTTTGTAAGCGATTTTATATTTGCTTTTTTTTTCCCCGTCTTAAAAGTAGTCCCAATTTCAAAGGTGAAATACACATGCTGACCATTTTACTGCCCTAACACAACCGCTGGTAGCATCTAGGATTTCTGTTGGCAAAAAAAGTATTTTTAGCGATTTTCATCCAGGTCCTATAGAAGCTTAAGAATGGACCATACCAGACACAGCATTAAAATGTGAAGGAGAGGTCCAGATATTGCTGAGGGCTTTGTTGAAGACAGTTAAAAAAAAAATTGCATATGTCATACCTCATAGTTTCTAATCAAATTCCAACATTTAGTTTTCTTTGTTTGCTTGGGTTTTTGTTTTTTGTTTTTTGTTTTTAAATAGGAAATATAGTGAGATTTGCACCTTTTAGGAAACAGTTTATCTTTTTGACAATTGCCACAACTCAATCGAAACATATCTAAAGTAAAACATAATAGTACCTGATACCTTTAAAGGGAAAGATACTTGTTAATTGTTGGGAGTACTTACAATGTANATGACAGAACTATTCTGCATCCTGATTGTTTGTGGGAGTAGATTCCAGAATCCATGTGTGTTAAAACAGTACACCAAAACAAAAAGTCAATTTTATGTATGGTAATTTTTAAAAGAAAATTGGAAAAAAGCATATATGCAGTAGAATTACAATATAAATTGCACTACATTCAAAACATTGCATGTAATACATGCCATACACATGGTTAAAATATAAAGCAAATGTAGGTCTTACTTCCTTTTGTATAATATATTCCATCCATAAAAAGATTTTTATCAAATTCTTTTTTTGTGGTTTGTATTACAAAAACAGTAGGTGTCTTAAGTGCACTTTTTCAAACTACATATGCACAAGAGAAAATTCTAATGCAATCCCATGAATACATTGCGATAGTGATTTATTCAAGTCTCACAGTTCATGGCTGCCACCTCAGGTGTCCTGATGGCTCATTATAATTAAAGCACAGGGACTGGAAACAGACCAAAAAGATACAGAAATGAAAAACCACAGGCATCTTGTAGGTCAGGCTAATCAGTTTAGATTCATGTTTCAGGGCTTACTGTTTTGCTATTAGAGAACCAGCAAAATATATAACAATGAAATTTATGATTTATTAAGTTATTACACCAACAGAGAGAAAGAAAGCTGGGTAAAATAAAGAAGCAAAACTAATAAGCAGTCTACGCTCAACTAATCTTGTACACTTTAGTGTTATAAAATTTGGTTACTTCGTTATTGTCTCATTCAAAACTCTGGAATTAATCTCACCTTCTGATTCATATTCACTTGCTTTCTGTTTCAAGTCCTCTATTACCAGGTGGATATCCTTGTCCCTGACCCTGTTGCGTTCTGAAAGGTGATGTAAAATTTCTGTGGTCCGTGGATTCACCTCATATTTTGGAATGGGGTGATCTCCAAATATTTTTTTCAACCATGCAGCAACCTAGCCATTAAAAGGAAGACAAATATTATAAGCCTTGTTTATTGTAATGGCATGAAGCAAATATAACAAAGTGATTAGAAGCAAACAAAATGCTTTCTATGAATATTCTGGCTTCCCACTTGGTTCACATCCTCACTTGTCTTTAAAGAGACAGATACCAGATGTCAGGAAATAAAAGGTGAGCAAGCACAAAGAAATTAACAGAAAACAATCCATCCTTTCCCAAAGTTACAAAAGCAGTACAAGTTAATAATTTGCATCGCTCGAATAACTTTAAAGCTTAATATTCAAGTGCTAACGCATTACTATACGTACAAACGCTGAAAAAAAGAGTTGTCTCCAACACACCCTAAGCCCCGTAGTGCCGTTAGCCCGCAGAGGCTTCTCGAGTTGGGGATGCGGGACGTGGAAGCAGTTCAGGTGTGAAAATTCTAGTAGGAATCAGCAGTGAACAGCGAGGCTTGGCTGGATGGTGGGTTTGGGTTCAGAAGCCCTACTTCAATGTGCCTGAAGGGATTTTGTACCACAGGGCTCCACCATACCTCTCCAAACCCGAGTCCAACCAAGAAAAGTCCCAGGAAGGAAGGGAAAACGCCTTTTCCAGGACAGAATAAGCAGAGGGGGGCTCGTAGATCGTGAAGGCGGGACTAAAGACGGACCAGCGGCGTAGGACGAGGAAAAAAGTAAATGTGGCGAGCCCAGGAAATCCGCCGACGGGGCGGGTGTGTCAAAGACGCCGTCTGTAGNTTTTTAATTTTGTTGATGTCCAATTTACCTACTTTTTATTTTGTTGCTTGTGCTTTTGGAATTGTAGCTAAGAAACCATTGCCAAATCCAAGGTCATGAAAATATACAGCTATGTTGTCTTCTGAGTTTTAAGTTTGGCTTTTTTTCCAGGAGGAACAGGACTTCAGTGTTTCTCATCTTGCCACCAGCTATCTGTTGCTAAGCTAAGTCCCAGGCAAATGTGGTCAAGAGGTATGGGTTCTCTTCCTCCACCCACCACGGCTCTTGGAATGATAGTTCTACCTTGGGTGAGGCACACAGAGAATACTGGGGCTCTTACACCAGCTCATGAAGTGGTAGTTCCAGACAGGAAAGGCACGCCAAGAGGACCTTACGCTGCTGTACTCCCTCTCTACCAAGCACTCAGCATCTACATTGGGGGTGTCACTCAGAGAAAAGCTTGCCATTGTCTCTACCCCCAGCTCTAGAGCTCTGGCTCAGAAATTTTCCAGAGGAAGAAGCAAGCCACAAAAGAGATAGCTCCCAATGCCTTCACAAAGGAACTGACTTCATTTGCAACAGAGCCTGCAGAAGTTCAAGCCAAAGAACACCCTCAAGAACAGTGAAAATTGTAGTAAAAGGCAACTGGGAAGAGGGTCGAGACACAAGTTAAACTATAGGCAACCTGCTTTGCATGGAAGAACCATAAAATAAGACATCTAGAAGGAGCCATGGTTAGGTCAGAACAAATATCAAGCACTGACTTCAGAAACTGCTCCTTTAATGGTGCCAGAATTTGACTGGATTAACTTGTAGAGCAATTTATGCCCTAAGGCATTGTTGAAAATAATTAGCTGTCAATTAGTAAAATTTGACAGCTAGGTGTGATCAGTGAAAGAGAAGAAGGCAGTCCTACCAAAACCACCATCATCCCAGAGTTACTGTGGACATAGTGTGACTCAAGTACAGATACTCCTTGACTTACGATGGGATGTACAGATGGGATGCACAGATAAAAACTGACAAGGTAGAATACTGACAAGGAAACAGAATACCTAAACAACAGTATAACCAACTAACATAACAGGTGCTTTTAAAACACTCTAACAACAGAATATACATTCTTTTCAAGTGGATATGGAACATTCTCCAAGATATAGCTTTATGCTAGACCATAAAACGAACCTCAGTAAATTTAAAAGGATCAAAATATTACAAAGTATTCCCTGATCACAATGGAATGAAATCAGAAATTAGAAAAAAATCTTAGAAAACTGATAAATATGTGGTTAAACAACACATTCCTAATAACCAATGTGTAGAAAAGAAATCAAAAGGAAAATTAGAAAATACTTTATGATGGATGAAAATGAAAAAACAACATACAAAAACTTATGGGATACATCAAAAGTAGTGCTTAGAGGGCTGCCCAGGTGACTCGGTTGGTTGGAGCGCGAGCTCTGAAAAGCAGGGTTGCTGGTTTGGTTCCCACATGGGTCAGTGAGCTGCACCCAAACTGAGCTGCCAACAGGCGGCCAGATGGCTCAACTGGTGAGAGTGCGTGCTTTTATTTTTTTATTTTATTTTATTTTTTTAGCTGAGCCATCCTGCCACCGGTTGGCAGCTCAGCTTGGGCTGTGAATCAAACCGGGGACCCTGTTGCTCAGAGCTCAAACTCTTGAGCGAGCTCTTAACCAACTGAGCCACTCGGCCGGCCCAAGAATGCATGCTTTTAACAAGTTTGCCAGTTTGACTCTCACATGGGATGGTGGGCTG